AGTTCATGATCTTTCAATGATTTGTCCCTTTATACCCAGCTTACATAAGGTATAAAGCTAGACCACCCAAACTTATGGAATATGTCTAGCTCAGCCATTGAATATACACAAACATAGGGCACAACAACTTTTCTCTTCTTTGGGCATATGACTAGGCCACCCTAGTCGCCTTGAACTGTTTAAGTATCCCAACTTTATATGATTATCTGCACATAGTCTTTTGAGATAACATATAACTGAACCGATCATCTTTAGCTCAAGATTCGGTCTGCCCCTTGGTACCACAAGTTTATTTTTAATTAGTACTCTCTTCCGTTGGTGATAAGCTATAGTCAGACCACCCAAACTTATGGAACCCTGTCTGACTAGCCTGTTTATAAGTAGAATAGTAATAAAGTATAGCCAAGTTATAGCCTTCTGGTTCCAACATGTGCGCGGCGTTGGACCAAGACCACCCAAACTTATGGAACATGTCTTGGTCCTCAACCTGGTTCATTTCTCTTAAAACCAAAGCAGGAAGAGGCTGAGTCACCCAAACTTATGGAACATGCTCAGACCTCCTCGTTCAGAACAAAAGAAACTGAACGAAGCTCAAAGTAAACAAGGCGACCAAGCCACCCAAACTTATGGAACATGCTTGGTCCCTGAAAAGTCAATCACAGTCAGCCCTCACAAGTCAGAGCAACCAGACCACCCAAACTTATGCAACATGTCTGGTTCTCCAGGCAATTCAAAATAAACATAGCACTGGGCCTCCCCAAACTTATGGAGACTTGCCCAGCCTTTGGTTGACCCAGTCAGACACAAGCAATACAACCTTCCTCCCATCCTTCCCCCAGATGCAATCCCACAATCTGCTTTCAGTCAAACAATAAAACTGAAACTGATATTGCTCATACATTCCTTTACTTCGTCTGGTTTGTGTCCTGAAAGTCAAACTGAAAGTCAAAGTAGGGATGCAGGCAATGTACTCAGTCAAAACTCAACAAGGAATACAAATAAGGGTTATAACTGGGTTTATAGAGGGAAAGCAATGATTACCTCTCAGTTCCCTGCCTCCAAAACTCCTCCTAAGTTCCGGCAGAGCTCCCGCAATCGGTGGGCTGACTCCCCACAGAGTCTTGCTGCAGTCCTACGGGTTGCAATCCCGCCTACCACCTTCCTCTCGTAACCTTAGACTAGACTTAGAGTGAGGAGGGAAGAAGAAGAAGTATTTAGTCTCTCAGATCCAGGGGATGGTGCACTCAGACTTGCGTGAGAGGGCCTTGATTCCTTGACGCATCTTAGGGCCCCGCAATGGCGGACAAGTACGCAGTAATACCGCCAGACTGAAGTCAAAGCGCCGAACGTTGACCTTCTGACGGTCCTCCAAATCGCAATAATGCCCCCCCCTTAAGATGTCGCGCCTCACTTTCAGATCAAGCCACATTTACGCAACTTAGAAGGGCAGCGTTCATATAGAGCACACCCCTGTGCTCTATTCAAAAACATAGTCAGAACCCAGTCGAACACGGTAACCACGCGTAGCAACAAGGTACCATGATAGCAATGCACCACACTAGATACAAATGCCACAATGTTGCAGATTCGTAGTAACCGATGCACAGTGAAATGCGCAGCAATGTGCAGCCCTGGAAATACACAGCAATGCTCGCTACGAACTATACAGCAAGGTGCACTGCGAAGCTGGCAGCAACAGCAACAGTAAAACAGCGAACCTCCACGACAATAACTTCTTGGCGGGTACCGTCAGTTGATTCCTCAATATGGCCACAGTAACTTCAACACAACAAGACTTGTTCTAAGTAGAATAGAAATCGTCGTTGTAAGAGAAAATCAGCAGCAGTCCTTGACTCCTTGCCAAAATACACCAATTTTGTTTCCACATGACAGCAGCCTCCCGAGCTTACAATTCAGACATATCTCTGGTCTTGATCAACAGTGTCGTTCTCAAGACGACTGCGCTACCCGAAGGCCTAGCATCAACACATGGACACACAGCAGTCCGGTCTGCCAACAACACAGGACTGCACAGACCAATAGCCACTCCGAATGCTGAGAACCAGGTAATATTCATGCCACCGGATTTCATACCAGGCTACGTGCACAGTTTATCATCACAACCTAACTCGTTGAGGCACCCCACATCACAGGTTCAAAGGCAAGTGCTCTCTCTCTTACGTACGACCTCCGGTCGTGGCCAGGTACTTATCACTTTGCCCTGCTACCTCCCCCGCCGCCTCTCATCCCTTCTTCACAATGGCTAGGTGGTTCGCTCCCTTGTTCAGACGTGGCAATGTGTTTTCAACGTTGGTAGTCAATAGAACTCAAGATGAATTCAGTCGGAACTCAGCATAGATTCACCAGGGAGGACGGTCAGGGTTGAGGCGCGGGCGGACAACACTGCGAATAGTCTCTACCACATGACCGCGTGACTGATGCAGGGGCAATAATAACAGTTCCACTGTACTACACACTGAGTGGGCAAGGTGTGCATAGCATGCCTGAACCCCACTACCAAGTAAACGTGCGAGACTCTCTCCTTCCTCACCACTCTCTCCTCTCCAGATCCGCTGCCTTCACCCACCTCACCTTCCTCTACCCACCTATTATTCCCGTTGTACCCCATGTGAACAGGCACCGAGGCGGTGGGGAATCAAGACAACAAACACCGAGGTGAAGTAGAGCACCGTCCTCGATAACCAACTTACGCCCGTGGAGAAATGAATGGGATTGGGGATAGGATGCCMCCCCCCCCCCCCCCCCCCCAACCAAACCCTTGCACAATATGAGAGTCAATCTTCCGCTAGAACAGGGGAAGATACATTGATAACCCACTTGCTGCTTTCTGCACATACTCCACGGAGCCTTCACTCAGTCACGTTCCATGCTCACCCTGATGGCACAGCAAGCATAGCCTTGAGGCCCGTGACCAGCAGGGGGGGGAGAGAGAGAGAGAAAGCAAATATGACAAGTTATGAGGGGAAGGGGGACTTGACTTCACCAGCAATCAGGGGATGGACAACCTTCATACACACGTAAGTGCCCCGTCCCTTCTCTCAACGCAATTGGCCATTCCCCTCGTTGTCTCCCAATCTTCCCCTCCAGGCTTTCGTTCGTCCTGTCTCGTGCATCTGCTCCGCCATGTTTGCTGCAATCCAAACACAGTTGTGGAGACGACGATCACGAGGCCGGCGACCGTAAGGGAGCACAATAAAAGCAAGCCTTACCGTGGAGTTCGATAATGAAGAGGAGGACTCCAGTTTGAAATAGCGGTAGGCACAAATACAACCCCCATAACGACCGTAAAGCCTGTCCTGCTACTAATCTGATACACAAAATGGCAATGGATTTTTCACTTGAGCATGGGAAGGTGCATTGCCACAAATCCAAACTCCTCTCATTTGTCGGCCCGTATGCCTGACGCAGCTCCCACGTCTCACACTGGCTAAACTATCACTTAAACGCGAAATCCGCCGCCACAGTTCATCTCGCAGTGCCTTGAAACCCCTAAATAGCTTCTTCACTTCCTGAAAATGGTCGAGAAACAGCCGTGCACGCCGACTTTTGCTTCTCCTTCTTCACTTTCCCCGACCCCATCGCGCAACATCTTTTCTCTGCAGCGCCCAAACCAGCCACTAACTTCGAATTCTGACTTCGCCATTCGATTCACCATGGCCAAAAACATTGGAAACGAATCTTCATTCGATCGTTTCCATTGAGGAACGGGGCGTGATACACCTTCTTCCCCGTCGCTATTCTGGTTCCTTTCTTCTCCGCCATCTCCAACTCGCCTTGTATGCACCCAGCGCAGTCTCCCGTCCAGATTCACTTCTCTGTTTTGCAGCTGCTGCGCTCACCCATACATTGCGTCGATTGACCCAGACAGCAGGCTGGTGGCAATGGGAGTCGAAATCTGCCACGGAGTGTGTAGTAACTCACCGGCCGAATCAATCAGCCTCGCGCCGGATGGCACTGCAGCGTGCGGCCCCGACGTTGCAGCCAGCGGAGGGGCACAAGGCCTGATGTGACATATGCTAGGTGCAGCGGGTCCTGGTGCAGATCTCGGTGGTAGTAACGAATCTTCAAATGAGAACTTTGGAGACCAAAGTGGAGAAGGGTTCCATGGGAACACCCGCTGCAGCTTGCAGCCTCCGCCATGGTGCGCCCGTCCCACTGCGCCCGACAACTTATCACCCCTTTTTGGGTCCCAAGGGGCCCGCTTACACTCGACCTCTCACAGCCGACGGTGGGGACGGACGGTCCACCCGCAGCAACCCCCGCCACCCTCGGGCTGCAGTCCCACAGGCTTGCTCGAACAGTTCTCCAATTCCCTTTCACTCTAGGCTATCGGTGTTCTTCAAGTGGAAAGCGAGGGAAGTCACGACCACGGACCCCACCACTACGGCTCCTCCCGCGCCGTGGGCCAAGCACCCACCGGCCTTCATGCACGTTGACTTCTTCGGTCCGCGCTCTGGCGTGGGTAGGACTTTGTCAACGCCCCGATCACGCCGGAGTCTCGATGGGCCTGCTCAAGGTCTTTGACTGCCGTATCGCCCACCGCGCCCCGGCGTCGGCCTCAAAACAGATTACCGAGCCAAAACCTTGGAAAACAATAAAAACAAATAAAATAAATAAATAACAAAAGTAAGATTAAACGCCGAGCGTCCTGCTGGCCCGCGGCGCCGCGCACACTCATGCTTGCACCTTGCCGCCGATACCCCGTGCGCGCCACTCACCCTGCAGAGGGCCTAAACTCCCTCTCTCGCGCGCACCGTTAGACGAGCGAGGATGCACTGGCGTATCTTGCAGAAAACACACCAAATACCCTTGTAAGGGTATTTGGTAATTTGGTACGACATCGCTATCTCTCATTTGCCTTGCAATTTGGTATCGGAGCTGGTTTGAACCACTCCACTGGTTCCTTCGCAATAGCTGTTTCGTGCTTCGTTGGGAAATGACGGGGCAGTGATAACGCTTGTGCGTTGGTGTATGGGCGGCCCAGAGTTGTGAGGGCGCGCCTGGAAGGCTATGTGGTGACATAGGGGTGCACGCTGGATGATGAGAGCTTGCTGACGTGGCAATTTAAGCCGAGGTGGAACTGCATTGCATTGTGGGTTGTACCGAGGCATCGACTGGTCATCATAGGTTACTGGTGAGAAATATGTGGTTGGGGGCAACATTATGAGGTACGTTGTTTCTTACCATGAGGAAGTGAGTCTTGTCTTGAGAGTCCTCTCATTGTGAGGTGTCGCGAGCGCTCAACCTCGAGAGGCGACATTCTTCCTGGGAGCAGGCTGGTGGGAGACGGGCGTTGCCTCCTTCGTCTTTCCTCTTCCTCCACCTTCTCTATCTCCCTCCTCATCCATCTTTCCTCCCGCCATCTTCCCTCCTCCTCCGCCTCCTGTGCATCCTCCCCTCTTCCCTTCTATCCGTAGGGGTTGTCCTTCTCAACTTCTCAAACTTCTCCCCTTCGCCACGTCCTCCTCCATCTCACCTCCCTCCTACTTCACCTCTTCCTCCATCCTTCCTCCCGCCATTTTTTTTCCTGTTGTTGCCATGTCATCTCATATTGCCACATCATCATCTTCTTTTCCTGTTGTTGCCATGTCATCTCAAATTGCCACGTCATCATCTTATCTTCTTCTTCTTCTTCTTCTTCTTCTTCTTCTTTTCCATTCGTTCTTCTTCTTCTTCCTCCTCGTCCACTTTCTCCACTCTTCCTTCCTGCATTTTCCCTTCTATTTTTCTCCTAATATGCTAGCACACTCCATGAACGAAGACCTACACCGTGATGGAGTGGGTGGAGGTGGAGGAGGACGAGGAGAAAAAACGAATGGAAAAGAAGAAAAAGAAGAAGAACAACAACAACAACAATAAGGAGCTGAAAGAGCTTCTTCTTCTTCTTCTTCTTCTGGAGGAGGACGAGGAGAAAGAATGAATGGAAAGAAGAAGAAGAAGAACAACAACAACAACAATAAGGAGCTGAAAGAGCTTCTTCTTCTTCTTCTTCTTCTTTTCCATTCGTTCTTCTTCTTCTTCCTCCTCGTCCACTTTCTCCACTCTTCCTTCCTGCATTTTCCCTTCTATTTTTCTCCTAATATGCTAGCACACTCCATGAACGAAGACCTACACCGTGATGGAGTGCTGTCTCTTATACACATCTAGATGTGTATAAGAGACAGCTCTTCTTCCATCCCCGCCCCCTTCTTTGTTGCCACACCACCTCATCCGCGACGTCATTTTAACTCCCTCATCATTTGCCAAGTCATCTCATTAGCCACCTCCTCTGCCTCCTCCACATCCTCCGCCATCCCACGTCCCTTCTGCTCTACGTCTTCCAACGTTCCTCCCCCCATTTTCTATTTCTTTTTTTTTTCCCTTGTCGCCACGTCATCGTGATGTTCACCTCGTTCGCCATCTCACCCAGTTTTTTGTTTCTTAATTTTCTTTTCTTTCCTTTTATTTGCTGCCACGTCATTTCTCCTGCACCTCCTTTGCCATGTCTCCTCCCTCCGTCTCCGCTTCTCCTCCTCCTCCTCTCCTCCTCGTCAATGGCTCGTCATCTTTTTCTTTTATTGTTGTCCCTTGTCGCCATCCACCCAGTTTTTTGTTTCTTAAATTTTTTTTTTTTTTTTTTTTTTTGCCGCCACATCGTCGTGATCTTCACTTCATTTGCCATCTCACGAAGTTTTTTGTTCTTAATTTTCTTTTCGTTTCTTTTATTTGCCGCCACATCATCTCTCCACCTCCTTTGCCATGTCTCCTCCCTCCATCTCCGGTTCTCCTCCTCCTCCTCTCCTCCTCTCCTCCTCTCCTCCTCGTCAATGGCTTGTCATCTTTTTCTTTTATTGTTGTCCCTTGCCGCCATCCACCCAGTTTTTTGTTTCTTAATTTTCTTTTCTTTTATTTTATTTGCCACCATGTCATCGTGATCTTCACCTCGTTTGCCATCTCACCCAGTTTTTTGTTTCTTAATTTTCTTTTCGTTTCTTTTATTTGCCACCACGTCATCTCCTGCACCTCCTTTGCCATGTCTCCTCCCTCCGTCTCCGCTTCTCCTCCTCCTCCTCTCCTCCGCGTCAATGGCTCGTCATCTTTTTCTTTTATTGTTGTCCCTTGTCACCATCCACCCTCCCTCCACCCTCTCTTCCCCTTCCTTCCTCACTCAGTCCTCATCCCTCCATCCTTCTTTCCTCCGTCTTCCCTCCTCCTCCAGGTCGTATTTCTCCCCTCCTGCGCCATTCTTCCTCCCGCCATCTTCCCGCCATTCCTCTTCTTCTTCTTCTTCTTCCACGTCGGAGCCTTCTGTCTGTTTTTTTGTTCTCTTTTTTCCCTGCCTTTTACGTTGTACAAGAACTGCCAACAAGCAGTCCAATGGCTCCCAGTCTTCGCCATTCATCCTCCCTTGTTCTTGTTCTTGTTCTTGTCCTCCTCCTTCTTGTTCTTGTCCTTGTTCTTGTTCCTTCTCTTCCTCCTCGTCGGTTCTTCTTCTTCTTGTTTGTGTTCTCCTTCTTTTTCTTCGTTTTCAACTTCTTCTTCTTCTTCTTCTTCTTCTTCCACGTCGGAGGCCTCTGTCTGTTTTTTTTTTGTTTTTTTACCCCCTGCCTTTTAAGCTGTGCACGAACTGCCAACAAGCAGTCCAATGGCTCCCAGTCTTGGCCATTCATCCTCCCTCCATCTTTGTTGTTCTTGTTCTTGTTCTTGTTTTTGTTCTTGTTTTTGTTTTTGTTCTTGTTCTTGTTTTTGTTCTTGTTTTTGTTTTTGTTCTTGTTCTTGTTCTTGTTCTTGTTCTCGTTCTTGTTCTTGTCCTTCCTCTTCCTCTTCCTCCTCATCGGTTCTTCTTCTTGTTCTTGTTCTCCTTCTTCTTCTTCTTCTTCGTTTTTTTTTTGCTTCTTCTTCTTCTTCTTCTTCATTTTTTTTTTGCTTCTTCTTCTTCTTCTTCTTCTTCTTCTTCTTCTTCCACGCTGGAGCCTTCTGTCTCTTTTTTTTTTTTTTTTTTTTTTTTTTTCCCCTGTCTTTTACGCTGTGCAAGAACTGCCAACAAGCAGTCCAATGACTCTGTCCTTTACGCTGTTCCAGATCCGGAACTTCTCGCTGTCGCATATCCAGAACCGATTCTGGAAGTGGTTCCTATTCCAGATCTGGTTCTGTTTCCCGTTACAGATCCGAGCAGCTCTGGAACTTCCTGTCCCAGATCTGGACCAGCTGCAGATCCAGAAACGGTTCTGGAACTGGTCGCTGTTCCAGATCTCGAGCGAGTTCTGGAACTTCCTATTCCAGATATGGATCTGCTGCAGATCCATAAACTGTTCTGGAACTCGTTCCTGTCCCAGATGTGGAACTATTTGTTGTTGGAGATCCTCAACTGGTCCTGGAACAGCAACGAGTTCCAGATCGCCGGTTGAGGATTTGCGACAGCAAAACGTGTTGCTGTACCAGCACCGGTTGAGGATTTGCGACAGCAAAGAGTTCCACATCTGGAACAGGAACCAGTTCCAGAACTGTTTCTAGATCTGCAGCTGCTCCAGATCTGGAACAGGAAGTTCCAGAGCTTGTTCCAGATTTGTAACGGCAAACAGATCCAGATCTGGAAGAGGAACCACTTCCAGAACCGGTTCATCCGAGCTCCACAACTTCCTATTTCAGATCTGGAGAAGCTGCAGATACACAAACGGTTCTGGAACTGATTCCTGTATTCGATTCGGAACTCCTTGTTCCAGAACCGGTTAAGGATCTGTGACAGCAAACCATCCCAGATCTGGAACAGGAAGCAGTCCCAGATTCAAATTCGTATTTGCAACTGCTCCAGATGCAGAACATGTCCTTGTTCTTGTTTTTGTCCTCCTCCTTGTTCTTGTTCTTGTCCTTGTTCTTGTTCCTCCTCTTCCTCCTCATTGGTTCTTCTTCTTCTTCTTTTTGTTCTCCTTCTTCTTCGTCGTCTTCATCTTCTTCTTCATCTTTTTCTTCTGCTTCTTCTTCTTCTTTTTCTTCTTCTTCTTCCATGTTGGAGCCTGTTTTTTTTTCCCCTGCCTTTTACGTTGTGCACGAACTGCCAACAAGCAGTCCAATGGCTCCCACTCTTCGCCCTTCATCATCCCTCCATGTTTGCTGTTCTTGTTCTTGTTCTTCTTCTTGTCCTTGTCCTTGTTCTTGTTCCTCCTCTTCCTCCTCATCGGTGCTTCTTTTTCTTCTTCTTCTTCTTCTTCCACGTCGGAGCCCTCTGTCTGTGTTTTTTTTTTTCCCCCGCCTTTAACGCTGTGCAAGAACTGTCAACAAGCAGTCTGATACCTCTGTCCTTTACGCTGTTCCAGATCCGGAACTTCTCGCTGTTGCATACCCAAAACTGGTTCTGGAAGTGGTTCCTATTCCAGATCTGGTTCTGTTTCCCGTTACAGATCAGTAGCGAGCTCTGGAACTTCCTGTCCCAGATCTGGACGAGCTGCAGATCCAGAAACGGTTCTGGAACTGGTTGTTGTTCCAGATCTGGAGCGAGTTCTGGAACTTCCTATTCTAGATGTGGAGCAGTTGCAGATCCAGAAACGGTTCTGGAACTCGTTCCTGTTCCAGATGTGGAAATATTTGCTGTCAGAGATCCTGAACTGGTCCTGGAACAACAACGAGTTCCAGATCCGGAACAGGAAACAGTTCCAGATGTGGAACGTGTTGCTGTACCAGCGCCAGTTGAGGATTTGTGACAGCAAAACGTGTCGTTGTACCAGCACCGGTTGAGGATTTGTGACAGCAAAGAGTTCCACATCTGGAACAGGAACCAGTTCCAGAACTGTTTCTAGATCTGTAGCTGCTCCAGATCTGGAACAGGAAGTTTCAGAGCTTCTTCCAGATCTGTAACGGCAAACAGATCCAGATCTGGAAGAGGAACCACTTACAGAACCGGTTCATCCGAGCTCTGCAACTTCCTGTTTCACATCTGGAGAAGCTGCAGGTACACAAACGGTTCTCGAACTCATTCCTGTATTTGATTCGGAGCTCCTTGTTCCAGAACCGGTTGAGGATCTGTGACAGCAAACCATTCGAGATCTGGAACAGGAAGCAGTCCCAGAACCAATTTCGTATCTGCAGATGTTGAACAGGAAGTTGCAGAGTTTGTTTCCGGATCTGAAATGGGAAACAAATCCTGATCTGGAACACGAACCAGTTCCAGAACCAGTTTTTTGAACTTGTTCCTGTTCCAGATCGGGATCTTTTCTCGTTCCAGATCTGGAACGAGTTCTGGAACTTCCTGTTCTAGATCATGAGCAGCTGCAGATACACAAACGGTTCTGGAACTGGTTCGTATTCCAAANAACGAGTTCTGGAACTTCCTGTTCTAGATCATGAGCAGCTGCAGATACACAAACGGTTCTGGAACTGGTTCGTATTCCAAATCCAGAGCAGTTTGCCGTTGCAGATCGTGAACAGCTTCCGGAACGGCAACGAGTTCCACATCTGTAACCTTTTCCTATTCCAGATGTAAAAGAGTTTCGTGGCCCAGATCATGCCGTCGGACCCTCGGTCTGTTTTTTTTTTTTTTTTTTCTGTCCTTTTGAACCTGCTAAGTTGCTCACAACCGATTGTCGCTGACTAGGGGTTCTGTTTGCTTGTTTTTTCGCTGCAGCTCCACTTCCCGTTGCTGCTCTGGTTTTCGTCTTCTTCTTCTTGTTCTTCTTCTTCTTCTTCTTCTTCCCTGCATCATGGCATCGTCTAGTCGTGCAAATGGCCGGGCTGAGAAGGGAAAGGGGGCAAAGGCCAAGAGTAGTGCACCGCCCATTCAGCCCCCTTTTGAACCACAAACGGAGGAGAAGCAAAGGGAACTGCAGAATGAATCCCTCGTTTACCGATGGATAGAGAGGGGGCAGCCGGCCGAGGCGAAGGGCTACGACCAGTACTGGGTTCGATGCAGACTGTGCAACAAGCAGTTTACTGCATGGAAGAATCCGGCGATGGATTGCTTCTTGAAGAAGGGGAAGCCATGCCCGTACCGCATTGGCGAGATATTGCACGAGCTCGCTTTGCAAGGGGCAAATATAGTCGGGGAGGCCTCCACGAAGATGCTGTTTCAGTACAAGACACAAAAAGGAATCGTGGAGGACACTGGAATGGAGCCTGCTGGAGGAGACGAAGATGAGATTGCTGAGTTGGAGGAGCATCTTCGTTCGCCACCAGCGCCAAGGAGAGAGTCGAGTGCAGTGCAAGAGGCACGTCAAGGGACCGTGTTGGACGCAACAGACAACGGACAAGCGTCTGCACCGGTGGGAAAGTCCGGCGAAGGCTCATCCACTCCAGCAAAGCTTTCAAGGCAAGTCTCGATCCGGCGGTGGGCGGAAAACACCGCACAAACGAGATTGGACGCGCAGTGGGGGAGGGCATTGTTTCGATCGAGAGTCCCCTTCAACTTCTTGCGAGTCGATGAGACACGGGCATTGCACAACCTGTACATGGAGCTCGGAGCCACAAAGGCAGTTCTGGACATGCCATCTTCAAAGACCATCCTGGCAGTGGTTCTGAACCTGGTCTACGGCCAAGTGCAGAAAGCAGTGCAGCCAATCATTGATAAATGGGACATCAGTGGATGCACGCTGATCACCGACGGGACAACGGACAGGAAGTGGAGGCCCGTGATCAACTTCATTGGCGCAGGGGAAGGTGGGGCTGTTCTTCTCAGGGTGGTGGACACGCAGCACAGGAAAGCGACCGCCACAGCAATTGCAAAATTGTGGGAAGAGGTCATCAGAGAAATTGGGGTGCACAGAGTCAACGCGATCTGCACCGACAACGCTGGAGTTAACAAGCGGGCTGCCCGGATTCTAGCGAGGCGGAGTGATCCAAACATTGCTAAAATTTCATGGCTGCCTCGCGCTGCGCACACTCTCAGTCTGCTGATGAAAGGGATTGCAAATCTGCAATGGGTGGCGAAGCATGTGAAGAGGGCGAAAATGATGGTGAGGTTCATCAAGGACCACCATCGTACAGTTGCCCTTTATGCGAGGTGCTCGCTAGAGGAGACAAAGGCACTCATCATGCCAACGGAGGTCCGTTTCGCATCGACGTACCAAATGTTGGAGCGGTTGCATGATAGGCAGTGGGTCCTTGATGAAATGATGGACAAAGGGTGGAGGGAAATCCACTGGAGCACAAGGAAGTTAAGAAAAAAGGCTGACAGGATCTATCTGACCGTTAGGTCAAATGAGTGGTGGGAAGAAGTGGAGCGGATTGTAAAGGTTATGAGGCCGGTGAACGAGCTCCTAAGAAGGATGGATAGTGATGGTTTGGCGCCCTCACAGTTGTGGGGTTTTGATGAGATGCTTCACGGCCGCTTGAGGAGCATTGGTGGCCTTACGGTGGAGCAGCAAGAGGACATAATGAGAGTCGTCGTTGATCGATGCAGGATGATGCGCTGTTATATGCCCAGTTGGGCGATGTACATAGAAAACCGAGGATCCGCAATGTGATAAAAAGGACTGAATGGACAATGCAGTGCAAGTAGAATGTCAACAAGCAATGTGCATTCTAATACATACAAAATGGTGCTGAATAGCGCAGGGAAGACTTAGATACAAAGCCTGACCTGACCAGGACTGACCTCATTCACATAGTATCAGATAGCGAAGCAGAATGCTAGAATGCTAATGACTAGCCCAATCAATGTTTGAACGCAGACCAAACATACATCGTATCCATCGCCAGGTGTGAAGGAGCCTGGCGCTGTACACAGGAAGAAAGCGCCAGGTCCAGACATACACAGACGAAGAGGAGGGAATCAGACGAAAGGAGGGAGAGAGATCGGAATGTCGTCAACACCAAGTCTTTGTCACAAGTCCCAAATAATCCCTCGTTGCAATGTCTGAAGTCCAAAAGTCGAGTTTGGATCCGATGTCACCAAGCTCTTTCTCTCTTCTCTCGTAGTCTGCAGATGCAGTGAAGTCAGATGATGAGAGGGGGGGAGAAGGAGATGGTGGACTGAGAAGAGGAAGAAGAAGAACTCTCTCTCTCTGTTACGTGCCAAATACTAACCTGTGATGTTGGCGCTGTGCTGCAGGTACCTCGAAGACGAAGCTGGAGCAACGGCGCTGCAGGTAAGTACCCCTGCCCTCCGCTCAATCTCTCTCTCTCTCTCTAGTGCTATCCTAGCTATGGCGCCCAGCGCTGGAGACTACAACTACCTACTGTGCCCAGCGCTGAAGACTAAAAGCTAACGCTACTACCACCCTGCAGCGCTCCCTCCAGAGTGCTGCTGCGGAATCCTGAAGACTACAACTGCCTCCTGCCTGCCCGTGAACCTCGGTCTGCCTGAAGGGCGAGCCAGGCCGAGGAGGCTGCTCTTGCGAATGCCAAAGTGTGCCAGGGGCTGGTGCTGCAGTTGCTTGAGGCTGGCGTGGGAACAGGCTAAGAATAGCCTGTTCCCGAAACCCTGGTTCGGTGCCTGAGTTTCAGGGCCGGTAGTTCTGATGCACGACCGAAAATGGCCCTTCGTTTCAGGCTAAAAAGGCTGTTGCCATTTTTAGTCTGAAACGACACAGGGACTGTAGGCCCTTGTTTTCAGGCTTTCGGGCTGAACAGTCACAGGGCCTGTAGGCCTTGGTTTTCAGGCTTTAAGCCTGAATTTCAGGCTTTCAGCCTGAGGGACGCAAGGCCTGGAAAATGGCCCTCGTGTGCAGGCGCAGCATGTAACACCCCCCCCTCCTTATGAAGTAAAGTCGGGGCGAGGGCGAAGCCGACGATCTGAAGGTGGAACTTGGACGCGGGCGTGACGTGGAGCCGAAGAAACCGGCTTGCCTTGCATCTTGTGTTCGTAGCATGCGAGAACGTCTGGAGCTGTTGCTTGAAGTTCCGCACGGGTCAACCAACGGTCAGCTCCGTATGTGCAGTAGGCAAAATGCACTAAATACTCGGTTGGCCTGTTGCCATAGCGTCGCTGGGAGATGATTTCGCCAACCTCCTGAAAACCATCCATGGAGGGTGGGTCTTGCGAACGTCTCCCGCGAAAATCGTCATGTTCCGCTGGCGTGTAAAGAGCCAATCTGGAGCAATGAAAGACTGGGTAGACGGGCAAGTGGCCGGGCACCTGAATCGTGAAGGAAGGTCCCTCGGGTGCCACGATCGGCCAAGGCCCCATCCATTTCGGGAGGGAACTTGCGAGAGATGTCTTGTTCAAGGCTGAATTCCGCTGTAAAAACCCACACGAGGTCTCCGGCGCCGAATGGGCAAGGAAGACGCTGGCGATTGGCCTGCTGGCTCATGCGCTGCTGCGTCTTAGCCATCTGGTCGTGTGCCTTGACAAGAAGCTCTTGCATCCGACATAAGAAAAGACGATGGTCGTCGCTCTCGACCGTTCGTGGAGTAATAGTGTCCAACGGTGAAGTGATCGGCGAGCCGTGCTCGAACTCGAAAGGCGATATCCCGATAGCCGGGTGGATGGAAGAGTTGTAGGCCAACTCGACATCCGGCAGCCGCTCAACCCAGTCCTTGTGGTCCGGACGAATGAGAGTGCGAAGGAGAACCTGTGCGGTCTGGTGCGCCCTCTCCGTTTGGCCATCGGTCTGAGGGTGGCGAGCTGAACTAGGCTTGAGAGAGGAGCCCCATTGCTTGATGAGCGCCAACCAAAAATCGGACATGAACCGGGTGTCGCGGTCGCAGACGATCCCCTTGGGGTAACCCTTGGTTCGAATCCAACCGGCGTAAAAAACCTCGACCAACTCCGATGCCTTGGCATGATAGCGACAAGGCAAGAACATGACGAACTTGGTGAGTCGGTCGACCACCGTGAGAATCCCATCCACTCCGGTCTTATGCTTGGGGAACGGGCCGGTAATGTCCATGGCAATCGCTTCCCTTCGCCTCAATGGGACTGGTAATGGTCGTAACTCGCCGTACGGACAATGGTTGCGGGATTTGCAGCGTCGACAAACCTCTCATGACTCGCAATAGCGCGTGACGTCGCCAAGAAGGCCGGGCCACCAAAATCGCTGGCGAAGTCGACCAATCGTGCGATTGACTCCAAAGTGTCCGGTGGCGGGAGCATCGTGGAACTCGCCAAGAAGCCATGTACGCAGGTGAGGATCACTCGGTACGCAAAGAAGGTCCTGCCCCCGCGTGTGGACAAGCAAGTACCCCTCTTGGACCCGGTAGTGAGAAGGCGTCGGATTAGGAGAGGAGCAATTCGCGTACTTGTCGCGAAACTCGGGGTCGGCTTGGTAGCCGCGGATGAAGCTGTTCCGCAGGTCATCGTCAATCTCGAAGGTTGAGTAGACCGTGGTACAATGATCTGGACGCCGTGAAAGAGCCTTCGAAAAACAGTTCCCGGGACTGTGATCGGGAAAGAAGTCGAACTGGTCGATGAAAGTCATCCATCGAGCGATGGTGCTGTTGACGGTGTCTTGGGTCTTATAGAAGACCAACGGATTGTTGTCCGTTACCCATCGAAATTGGCTTCGACCAAGGAGGAAGTGCCGCCACCACTTGAGCGCGTGGACGAAGGCGAGGAGCTCCTTCTTGCGTGCATCGTCAATGGAATGCACGACGGGCACTTTCTTGCTGAAATACTCGACCGGGTGCCAGTCCACACCATCATGTTGCTCGAGGACTGCACCAATGTCATAGCTTGACGCATCCGTAGTGACGCGCGTAGGCAAAAGCGGGTCGTATATCCGCAAGACCTCCGCAGACAATAGCGCGGCTTTGAGAGCCAAGAATGATTCCCGCGCCTCCTCTCCGAAGTCAAATGGTCGATCCTCGCATTGAAGCTTGGTCAAGTGGGCCACGATCTTCGAGTAGCCTTTGATGAAACGTTGATAGTAGCTGGCGAGACCAAGGAACGAGCGGACATCTGTGACGTTTCGAGGCTCCGGCCACTCTTGGATGGCTTGAATCTTGTCCGATAGCGGACTGATGCCCTCCGGTGTGACAAAATGGCCCAAGTATTCCAGCTCTTGCCGCACAAATTCGCACTTGTCGCGGTTGGCCTTGTACTTGGCGAGGCGGAGCGTCTCCAACACTCGTCGAAGATGCTCAAGATGATCCTCCAATGACCGGCTATAGACGAGAATATCGTCTAAGTAGACCAGCACGAACCGGTCCAACATTGCATGGAACTCATTGGTCATTGCCTCTTGAAAGGTCGTCGGGGCGTTGGTGAGTTCAAAAGGCATGACCACCCACTCAAAATGCCCGTACCGCGTCTTGAACGCGGACTTGTAGAGATCGTTTGGCCGGATCGAGATTTGATGATATCCCGATTTCAAATCCAACTTAGAAAAATACTTTGCGCCGCCCAGTCGCTCAAGAAGATCGTCGATGCGAGGAAGAAGCCCCGCATTCTTGACGGTTTGCGGGTTGAGTTTGCGGTAGTCGATACACAATCGTAGATCCTTGTTCTTCTTCCGGACGAAGAGAACCGGTGCTCCATATGGGGAGCTGCTAGGGCGGATCCAGCCCTTGGCCAACAAATCGTCGAGTTGTGCGCGGAGGAGCTCAAGCTCCTCCTCGCTCATGCGATAGATGCAACCTTTCGCCGGCACGAAATTGGCCTCAAGAATGATCTCGTGAGAGATCGGCCGATCTGGCACCACACCGGTAGGTGACTCGAAGATGTCGGCGAACTCGTCCGGCAACCGCACCACCCGGGGGTCCGAAGACAAGTCCGTGGATGAAGAGTCGGCTACCGCGACGGTCCGTAGGAAACATAGGCCGATCTCATCGGGCTGCTTGTAAGCGCAAGTCGCCCTGAATGATTTGGCCGTCACCACTTGGCACCGAATCGAAGGGTGCRGTAGAGGAATAGTACACGCCACTTCCCCGCCGAAGGCGTCGCGAACGCTAAGAGTCCGCCGGTGGAAGTTGACCGTGTGATCCGCACTTCCAAGCCAAGGCATTCCCAGAATGATGTCGAAGTCCGTGTCGAGAATATCGAATGTCACCGGTTCGCATGCATGAGGTGCAAAATAGACCGGTACGGCCTCGATGTAACGGTCGAGAAGTTGCTGAGTTTTTCCATCCGCCAACTTGATAGTCGTCGGGTTTGTCTTCCTCCGAACTTGTGCGCCAAGGCCAGCCCTTTGCATATAGGATTGGCTCATGAAATTTCAAGACGCGCCGCTATCCAGCAAAGCGTTGCAGGACGCTTGCCCAACTTGAATGCGGACATACATGAGCGGTGAGTTGTTGTCATCGTACCGCTGCGTGCGAAACTCGCGGGCCACCTTGGTAGTATACGCAAGGATGTCTCCCACCACGACTTCGTCATCCATCGACGAAGTTGGTGGTGCATAGAAGGATAAGTAAGTGTGGAGATGAGCGCATAGTGCTGCGCATTGCAGTTTCGGCAGACGGCCCGTGGTCGGGAGAGGACGCCATGCAAAGTCCTCCGACATGAGCGGGTCCAATACCTATATGTTGAACTCGCGCGTCGATTCCCGTGAAGAACCACTTGAAGACGATATGTCGCCGCTGCCGGACGGAGAAGAAACCGCACACACTTCTTGTCCTTGAGCTTGAGTACCCAGCGTAGGAACGAGTCGGGCAGCATAGTCCTCAAAAGAAAGTAGAAAAGGAGGACTATCGACTTCCGCGTGCGCCTCGGAATGAAGGTCGGTTACTCGCGAAGAAACCGGTTCCGGAGGTGTCGAGAGTGTTGTCGAGTCACTCTCGGCGGTGCTCAGTTTCCCTTTTTGCCCTTGCCTTTCAATGGGCAGACCGGTGTCTGATGAAGATCACTGTTGCACCATAGGCAATAGTGGAATCTCGTGCGCGCCTTGAAGGCTTGCTCGGAGATGCCATATTGGGACCAAGGGGCTGGAGTTGTTGCGCTAGGCCCGGGGCTAGATGCGGTGTGTGTCTTCGTCTTGCCGCGTCCTCGGCCTCTGCCGGAGCGGCCACCTTCTCGGGCGGCTGCGAGTCTGTCCCCTTCACTGGCAGACACAGCCTCGCTGGTTTGGTCAAACGGTGTTGCCGCCGCAACCACGACCACTCTTGGCCGATGCTGGTACCTGCTCGGGCCTGCCGCAGACGAATGCAGATTCTTCGCCTCCTTGTTTGTAATGATGATCTGCGCGGCCTTGTCAAAAAGTTTCGCCGTCGTTGTCAAGGTGTCCTCCACGTGAGTCAGGGCATTGCTTAATGTCGGACATGACCTTGAGATGAAATAGTGGCGGATGGCTTTGAAGCCCATCTGGATGTCTGGGACTGACGTCAAGCGTTGGTACTCAGTGATCCAGTCAGTAATCGGCAGCGTGCCTTGCTCGAAGACCATGAGCTTGTCCATAGCCTTGATCTCGGGCGGCTTAACTTGGAACCGCCTGTGCCACGCCGCCTTTAGATCATCCCAACTGATCTTGGTGCGCAAGTCGTTAGCTACCACTCCGTACTTGGACAAGAGGTTGTCCAACTAAGCCTGGCATGCGCCCCTTGAGCGAGAGTACAAGTATGCGTGGTGCTTGTGTTCTTTGACGTTGTGTAGCTGCAGCGTGAGCTCGAACTTGCGGAACCATGGAACCGGATCTGTCTTCGTCGAGTCGCAGAAGATCTTCTGCCCGTCAAACTTTGGAGCTGTTTCGCGCGGTTCCGAACTTGAGACATTGGCGGTAGTACAAATCCACTATTGCAACTGTTGCGTTGCGGTCTGCTGTAACTGCACGCCGTCTTTGAGGGAGCCGACGTCCATCTCCAACGTTTCGAGGCGATCGGAGTTATTGGAAGAGCTTGCATTGGGGGCGGCGACAGGTCGCTGCTCCAGCAGCTGAAGTCGGCCTTGTACTTGAGCTAGCGAGTCGTCGAGGTTGTGGATATCCTTCTGCTGTGTAATGCAGGTTGCCAGGAGGTCTGTGAGATGCGAGAGGAGGAGAGCGATCTTGTTTTCGCAATCCTCCAACTTGCCATTCTCGGCCTCTTTCCGCCATGCCGCTGCCATGGTGAGCAAAGTCTGCTCTCCGCTAAATATCTTCTCACGACGTTGGTTTCTTTCTTCATCGGCACTGCTACCTCGTCATGCTGGCGCTGTTGTTCAAGTGCCAGCAGACGTGCCCGCTCGGCATCCTCTGCCTTTTTCTTCGCTGCTGCTGCTACGTCATCCGCCCGTTTCTTTGTTTCGGTACTCCAAGCCAGCATCCGGGCCTGATAGGCCTCCTCTGCTTCTCCAGACTTCTGGTCCATGACGGCTGTATGTGACCGCAACAGCATATACCAGCCCGGGTGCCTGCTCACGTGGTATTCCTGCTCTGTCGGCTGACGTGGCCTGCTCACGTGGCAACTCAACAATGTCGTCGCAGGGGGTACCCGGAGATAGATAGAGAAGGTAAGGCCAGAGGGGGCAACAACATAGGTGGGGAGGGTGGGTGGGAAGAATCGCCTAGATAAGTGAAACGGTATTCCCCTGCTAGCAGTAGCGAATGCAGATCCCAGGGCTCGATCCCTAGACTTTACCTTACCTGTGTATATTACCTGTGTCAACCTCGAGAGTTAAACCCGTGACCTGCGTAATCGTAACAATTGGTAGTTGTCGTAGGGTCTGTAGGATGTAGGGGTTCGATCTGTAGACCTGTCAAGCAGATATCTTAGCAAGTTCTAGAAGTCGTAGCTGCTACAGTCCCGAAAGTCCAAGCTACAGTCCTGAAAGGCCAGGTCGTAGCTGCTACAGTCC